ATATTATCCAATGATATAAGCTCCTATAATAGTTGCAATGGTTTTAATGAAAAGCTATTATTTAATTAAAGGTTTAAATACTTCAAAGCTTATTCATGATAACGTTATGAATAGCTTATTAAATGCTTCATATACAAAGTTTTATAATACAATTCTCATTGGGAGATTGATGAATAGGTTAAGTAAGGATATTTATAATATTGATTTATTATTTCCTAATGAAATTTAAAACTTAACATATCAATTAACATCCTTGTTATTACCATTATTTGCATGCTTCCTTTATTTAAACATTGCAGCATTACCTTTGTTAATTCTTTTTTTCATTATTCTGATATATTTAACAGTAATTTACTATAGATGTTTGAGAGAAATTACAAGAATTGAAGCTGTTTCTAAAAGTCCTGTTTTTTCTTTTTTTTAATAAATTGTTAGAGGAGTTACTTATGTTAGGAGTTGCTTACCAATAGAAAAAGTTGTAGCTTTATAATAAAAAAATGTTGATATTGATTTAGGAAATTAATTAAATTTGTACGGATTTTAATATTGGTATCAATCATTTGCTGGATCAATAACAAATTTCTTTTAAGCATTGTTATTTATAATTTGTGTAAAGTTTATTATTAATTAAGTTTCTCTTTCCAGGAAAGACTTAAAAAATGACTAATCTAGTCCTGTAATAGATGTAAACTGTTTCTAATTTACTTTTAAATTCTTCAATATCTTATGGAAATTTACAAATGTATTTTATCAGTTTTGAAAGATGTTTACATTTAGCAAAGTAATTACCTTTGTATGTAAATGTCTAAAGATAAGTCAGAAGATGTGACATTTTTTGGATTATAATTTTGTAAGTTTAACATCAATTATTTTCAAATAATTAATTTATGGAAAAATCTATTAGGTTTTATTAAAATATCATATAAAGATAAACTCAATATTTTGAATTGTTTGTTTCTTAAAATTAAAAAAAAATATGAGTTTCAACTTTCTTACTTTCCTTTTCCTTTATCACAAAAAATTTCTTGTCTATAAAGAGATATAATATAACACTGAAAAATACACTTTTAAAATATGAAGTAAAATTTGAAGATTTCTATTGAATTCTTAGTAAACAATCATCTAGAAAAATAGAAATTTTTATCAAGATAATAATAATATGTTTGTTTAACAAGGATACAACCTTGATAGTCAAATATAAATAACTTTATCTTCTTTATTATATTACTTAGTGCAAATTCTTGATTTGAAATTTATTTGTAAAAATTATATTATTTTTTTAATTCTATTGGAATAGATGCTTAATTATAATTAATTTGAGATTATAGCTCAGTTTATTCTAGAAAATTAAAGAGAAAAGGTGATTAAATGCAATTCTCCTTTATGAGGACGCTTAAAATATTTATGACAAATATGGGTTATTTATATTTTGATACATTAATAAATTGGAAACTATCTTTTTGTCTAAAAGGTTTAGAAAGTGAGAGAGTTTTTAGATAAGAATACAATTTCAAATGGAAACCGCATAAGATCTACAAAATAAACATGCTTAATAAAGAATTAATTTTTTTAAAAGATGCAATAAACAAAATTACTTTAAAATAAAAATATTTTGAAAATTGGATTTTCAATTTTGATCAATTAAAGGTGTAGGATGATATAGAAATAATAACTAAACCAGATACCAAAATAAGGATGTTAATTTATTTAAGTATTCTCATGACCTAATAAAGGATATAATTAATATAAATATATATATATTTAATAAAATGAATATATACTTTAATTGATTTAAAAAATAAAAAAAAATGTTATAATATTTGATAAATCATAAAAATATTTATTCTAATGCTATTTGCTTTTATTTTTAAGCAAGAATGGATTTATACTTTTAGATTATATAATCTTTTGCTTTATTGATAAGAATGTAACCATATTTAATTAATGGTGATAGTAATCCAAAACATAATATTGCTATTTGTACAAAGCCTATAAGGATTTATTAATTATTTGTAATATGTTTAACAAAATCAGAATGATAAGAGATACTTAAAAGTGTAAAAATTATAATTGGCATTTCAAACCAGAAGATTACAATTTTATCTATTTTATCTTTTAATAGTTTGGCTATAATTATTATTCCAAGATATATTGTATTTATTAATGCAATTAAAATACATTAAATAATTGAATTATCTTGTGCTTTAATTAAGAAAAAGAGGAATAAGAATTTTTTTATAACTATTAAACCTTAATGTCTGAATATATTCAAATTCTATAATTTTTGATTCTATGCAGTATTAATTGTATAAGATATAGAGATTGCAAAAAGGAATAACATAATAACTATACATAAAGGGATAGATAGTTCAGTTCTTAAGGAATTTTAAGGTTTAGAATAGAGATATAGGATAATTTTGAAAAGGACATCCCAACTATTAGCTAAAAACCATATTATTAATCCATTTAATGAAAACATTTAGCCTAAACTTAGGATAAATTAATTAATTTAATAAAGAATAATAACAATTTTATCTAATAATTTAGAGTTTTCTTATCTAATATATAACATTTAAATTGAGGTAAAACATTTTTTATAATATAATTTAACATATGCATAATAAAATATAGCAAAAAGTAAAAAAAGTACAATTTAACAATTTGACTTTAAAAATTAATTAATAAATCTGCATTAATTGAATAAAAATAAAATTTACCAAATGATTCTAATACTTCTTAACCAAATATTAATGTAAATAAATCTACTAAATTAAATTTTATTAAAAATAATTGAATTGAAAGTAGTTCAGAAGATTCAAAATATATATAAACATTTTCTGGAAATATAACATTAATAAATCTAAGATAAGATTAATATTATAAGGCATCTAAAACTTCAAAACAATCTGATGTGTTACCAGACAATAATATAATAATGCTTGAAATACCTAGAATTATAAGTATCAATATGTTGAATTAACTAGCTTTTGAAGAAATTTCCTTTTATTCTTGATTTAAAACAATTGGATTTTTCAATTTTAATTTAAGTTCTTTATTTAAAATATCTAAATCATAATTATTAATTAATGGTATGTTAAAGGAAACCTAGAATATTAGATCTACATCCAATTATTTTAGAATTTCAATAGTAAATAAATATTAAATATATTGAAATTCTTCAAAAGTTGGTTCATTTTAAATATCAATAGTTATTATGTAATTTAAATTATTCTAATTTATAATCTAGGTTTTAAGATTTTAAGTAAAGTTTTCATAGCTTTCTTTTAATTTAACATGTTAAGAAGATGTCATTAAAATATATTACTTATTAAAGGTGATATTTAAATATTGTAATTCTACAATTGGATTGTCAGATTGGAAACATATACTCATTTCTTACTCATCCGTATTACATTTCCATAAATTCTCAATTTAACATTCTTCTGAGCATCCATCTAAAGAGAATTGATTACCATCATCACATTATTCATTAAATGATTTAATTCCATCTCCACAATATTCTTAACATCTATTATTTTATAATAAATATCCAATATCACAAATCATACATTAACCTTCAATGCAATTCTTACAATAAAGTGAACAAGAATATTAACATTAAAAACAACCATCAAAAGGTTCATTATTATCATCATCACATTTTTCATCTGATGCAATAATTAAATCACCACAAATAGATAAGCAATTTTAATCAATTAAATGAAATCCATAATCACAATCTAATATTATTAATTCTTATTATAAACATATTCCATCTATACAATCAATACAATTTTCGTCACATTAATATTAACATTCAAAACATCCATCAAATGGAATTGTATTTGCATCATCACATTATTCAAAGTCTTAAATTATACCATCTCCACAAATTACTTAATTAATGTTTGTAGATTAAGTATTGCAATCCTCAAATAATTCTTGAATACATTAAAAATTAAATAAATTCCAACATGGCAAACATTTAATACATTATGTATTATAACATTCTAAACATTCTGGTTAACAATTATGATTAATAGGTAAAAATTCAATTAGCTATTATTATTTATCATTATTTAATAAATCTATATAGTAAGGGGTACAAATATTATTTAATAATTAAAATAAAGGATTACAAATTAAACAAATACCAAATTTACATTATAAACAATTCAAAGAACATGAGAATTATCATTAATGACCACCATCATAAGGTATTTAATTTGAATCATCACATTCTTCTAATCCAACTATAATAATATCACCACAAAATGGAAGACAAATATAATTTTATGGATCATAATACCAATAAGAATAACATTCTATACAATGACCTTTTACACAATTACTACATCCTTCATTACAATCAAATTAGAAATTAAAATAACCATCAAATGCATAGATATTTTGATCATTACATAATTCATTTTCTTCTATATATTTTATATCTGTAAATATTTCAAAGTCTCTAATTCCATAATAAGCATTCATTTCTGTCATTTCAGATATTATAAATTTTAAATTTTAAATAATTAAAAAGAGTATAAAATATACAATTATAATTATGTAAATTAACTTAAAATCAAATTCTATAATATAGTTATTGAAATCTATAAATTATGAATATTATGTTGAAATTATGCATCAATAACAGTAATTGTTTAAAATTAATCGCAAATTTGATTCTTTTCATATATATTAAGATTAGTAGAATATGTTTACTGATAATTATTAACCTATACTATCAAAGAGCTGGGATTATAATTTTAAACAGTTATTAATTTAAATCTTATTCTAATTTCTGAATGATCTTAATAAATTATTGAATTAAAATTAATTTAATCTATATCATCAAAAGGCCCATAAAATTAGAAATCTAAATAAATATAATTTAAACTTTACTTCCACATCCAATTATTCCTTCAAACGAAAAATTGTTTTTTAGCCATCCTTCTTTTAGCAATATATCTAATTCTCCAAAATATATACTCATTTAAGCCCATTTATCACATTCACCAAATTAATTACAAGAATCACATTATTAAGGACATTGATAAATGAATAGATTAACATCAGCTATCCCTGAAAAAAAGTTTGGTGCATAACTATCACCAATTAAAATAATTAAAATCTAAAGTGTTGGATTAAAATGTTAATTATTAAGAATAAAGGTTTCTTTCGTTAGAGTTAAATCACTACATGCGTAACAAATAAGAGTAGAATAAGTCTTATTAATTTAATAATCATCAAAATTTAATGTGATAATAAAATCCATTGCACAAGCGTAGAAAATTTCAAAAATTATCTTATAAGCAAAATGAGGAGGAAGAAAAAATGTTTTAAATATCACTATATTTTCCATTCCACCTAAAATTTTTTAATTTAAACATTCAATAATTTATTGATCATCCAATTATACTTAGCCCTAAAATATCATCCAATTTTATTCATTAAATATATCTCTATCTACATCTTAAGTTATGAATTAAGTATTATAAATTAAGGTTTAACAATTCACATGATCTACTGTTTAAAACAAAAATAAAATCAAATAAAGCAACAAATACCAGTTTATATGATTTCTAAATATAGGTACCTAAGCCATTATCCACAATAAAATTAAATAATATTCATAAGATAATCCACTTACACATTTATACTGTTGGATAATATCAAAACTCTACATGATTTTGTATATTTAATGCGCATTTTTATACAATATTAATTTTCCTTTATGTCTCCATTATGAAAGGTAGGACAACTCTGTTTTATGTGAATTTGTTATTTGAACATTAATATCTTAAATTATCATTAATTTCTTTCATTCCTTGATATTTTGAAAATTTTCATTTCTTTCAAAAGCTTGGATGCTTTATTCAAGTGATTAATTTAAAAATTTATTTAAAATACATAATTGGAAATGTTATTCTAATTCCAAATATAACCTTTAAGAGATGAATATGAAAATAGAAAGACCAATTATAGAATTTTATACAATAACAATTTTAGCAAAACTTAATTTTTCATTCCATAGAAATTTTTATAATAATTACTTAATATATATTTAATAAATAAAATATAAAGCCAAAATATTTAATTTTAGAGACTTACTATTTTTTGTGGAAATTGTGATATATCAATATTATAATAAGAAAAATTTCATATTCTAAATGTCATCTAAATCTAAGAATAATAACTCATAAAAATAATCTGAAATATTTTCAATTTAAGACTTATAAACTTTAATCAAGCAAACTATTTTTCTCAATAATAATAAAATCTTTCTCTTAAGATAATTATTATTTATTTAACAGTAGAACATTATTGCTAATACAATGTTTAAATCTAAGTTATTAATATTTTACATAATAAATAATGCATAATATACTTAAATCAATAATTATATAAATAATTCAATAGATGTGCAAGCATAGATATAATTTAAACATGGATATTTTCACAATGTTATCTGATTAATGATTCCATATATAATTTCTATGTATAATTAAATAATTATGTAAAAATAATTTATAATTAAATGATTATTTTAGTTTTAGTAATCTAATTACTGTTTATAGAATATTGAAATAACAAAAGTATTTTTCTTTCTTATACAATATACTTAAAAAACCTAAAATAATAATATATTTGTTACCTATTTAATACCTATCTTATTAAAAAATAATTTATTTATTCAAATTATCACAAATCAACAGCAATTAACACAATATTTTTTTGTTTAAGGTTCAATCATTTTAATTAAATAAAATTAACGAAACTCAATTTTATCTTTATAAAATATTAGGAATATAAATAAATTACACTTACTCTCTATTTTTTACTATATAATTAGATCTAAGAATAATTAAATAAAATGTATAAATATTTACATCAAAGCCAATTCTAATACATAAAATCCTCCTATTTTCTACCTAAGGAAATATGTATAAAAGAAGATGAAGTTTTTTATTGATTTATTAAAATCTTAGCTAAATCGATAGTGATTTAGTTAAATAAATTAAAAAAAGATTTATCAATCTAATAATAATTAATATGAATGAGAATTTTAATGATTATGATATCAATAAAATATTAAACCAAATTACATAATAATTGTGAATTTAAATATTAAGAAAATGAATTAATAAGTAATAAATGTTAATGTTGTTTTATTAATATCTAAAAATATTTTCTAAAATAATATATTTATTAATTAAATAATGCTTATAAAGTTATAAATATTTATGAATAAATCCAAATCTAGTTTTCAGTATGAATTATTATTCTATGGTTGAAGATTAATTTAAAATACAATTCCTTATGAATAAATTATATATGGTTCTAAATCACATATGCTATTTTTAGATAATTATCAGAGCAATATAAACACTTAACTTATAAAAAGATTTCGAAATCTAATATTATATTCTAAATCTATGTAAAGTTATCTAAATAAGAAAATTCTATTTATTAACTAATTATAATGAAGTTCTAATTTAAGGAATAAATATATTTAATTATTTAAAGATTTATGAAAGGAAGGATATATATATCATACCATAAAAAATAGTTTTAAAACTCTACAGAAAATTTTAGATGATTCTTAATAGAGCATTTATATATTCTAATATAATCAATTCAAAATTTAGAATTTCTGAATTCCAGCAATACTAAAAGTATTTAGATTAATTCATAGCACTAATAAATTTTAAAAATAATGAATTTGGAATCTTAATATTAAGAATTCTAAGAAGAGAAAATTAATATTCCTACAATTAATATAGAAAATACAATCAATAGTAATCAAAAAAGATCAAGTTTTTTTCGATTGATTCAATATTCACTATAATATAAATTGCTATTGTTTTTTGGAAATTTAGGATTGTTAATTACTTCAATTTCAATGGTAGCATTACCATACTTAACAGGGTATTATATATATATAATCTTAGGAAAATGATTGATTCCATAACAAAATCTAAATTTTTTAACTTTATAATTCATAGGGTTAACAATTGTAACTGCTTTTTTTACTTTTTTAAATTCATATGCTTATAATATTCTAGGAGAAAAAATAACATTTCATCTAAGAAATGAATTATTTTAAAGTTTAATTTTAAAAGACATTGAATTTTTTGATTCTAATAGATCTGGAGAATTAATATCTAGACTTTCATCTGATATATCTGTAATAAATAAAGGAACCAATAATTCTATTTCTACAGTTTTAAAAAATGCTATTTAAGTTATAGGTAGTTTGATTTTATTATGTTTTATAAGTTGGAGATTAACACTTGTATTATTTTGTGTGATTCCTCCTTCTGTAATTATAGCAATTATATTTGTTAAAAAATATAAGCAATTAAGAAAGGAATATTAATAATCCATAGCTTACTCTACTTAAATAGCTTCAGAAGTCTTAAGTAATATGAGGATTGTAAGATCTTTTTCAACAGAGGAAAGAGAAAGCAACTCATATAAAAAGGCTAATTAAGATGTTTATTATTTTGGTAATAAACTAGCAATTTTAGGAAGTTAATTTATGGCTATTGGAATCGTTTTAGCTTATAGTGTTATATTAGCTATTTTGTATTATGGTGGAAGTCTAGTAATTGATGGATAATCAACAATAGGAGATTTAAGTTCTTTTGTATTATATACCTTAACTATGACTAGTATAATATTATTTTATATTAGTTTCTCTTTTGTCCTTAAGTGGAACAATGAATGAGATGATATCTGCTGCTGCTGTCTCTGAAAAGATTTTTGATATAATAGATCATCCAATTAAAATACGAAATGGTACTTTGGATGCATCTAATATATCTGGTTAAATTAATATATCAAATGTAACATTTTGTTATCCAACTAAATAAAATGTGATGAGTTTAAAAAAGATATGCTTAGAGATTAATTAAGGGGAAGTTGTAGCATTTGTTGGATAAAGTGGTAGTGGAAAGTCCACTATTGTTTAATTGTTATAGAGATTTTATGATTCTGGATAAGGATCAATTTTATTTGACAATATAGATATTAAAGAGTATAATCTAAAGTAGCTGCATAATTAAATAGGATTTGTTGCACAAGAACCAACTTTATTTTCTGGTACATTGAAAGATAATATTACATATGGTGTAGATACTTTCACTTAAGAAGATATTGATAATGCAATGAAATTAGCTAATGCGTATGATTTTGTGACAGATATGTCAATATTTCCAGATGGATTAGAAACTATAGTAGGAGAAAGAGGAGTGAAATTATCAGGAGGTTAAAAATAGCGTATTGCTATTGCTAGAGCTTTGATAAAGAACCCTAAAATATTGATATTTGATGAAGCAACCAGTGCTTTAGATTCTGAATCTGAATTTTAAGTTTAAAAGGCTATTGATGATCTTGTTTAATCAGGTTAAAAGACTATTATTATAATTGCTCATAGATTATCCACTGTAATTAATTCTAACAAAATTATTGTAGTCTAAAATGGATAAATAGTTGAATAAGGAAAGCATCTAGAATTAATAGAAAAAAATGGTGTTTATAAACAATTAATTGAAAGACAATTGTAATGAATAAAACATAATAATTATTAATTGTTAAATAATATAATTATACTATTTATATATTATTAGAATTA